ACCTTCCATCAGTGCAACAGGTTGGAAACATTCTCTCATGTGAGGAAAGAGGAAGTAGAAAATATAAGAAAAGACAAACTGCGTTTTTAAGGCCTCACTGAAGGTCTTACTGGAATCATTTGCCTCTAAACATTGTTGGTGTTAGCCTATTGCTATTAATCTTGTTATTACTAATAATGACATGATACTTTGGCAATATTACACTTTATGAACAGTCATGTAAAAAGGAAAAAGCTATTTTGAATTGAACTACAGTCCCTGAATCTTTTTCTCAGAGTGTTTTTTGTCATGGAAAGAGTCGTAAATAAGACAGAAAGAGGTGGTGCGCTGAGGTGTTAGCATGTTAGCATGCTAGTCAGCCACAACAACCTGCCCTCAGGGCATAAGGTTGGAAATGTTCCCTTATGTGAGGGAAAAGAGAAAGAAAAAGTATTTCAATATCACGACGTTGTTTCTTTGTTGTTGCTTTTAGCCTGTTGCTATTAATTTTGGTATTAATAATAATGTTATTATGCTTTGACAAGCGTTATAACATTATTAGCATAGTTATACTTCATACACCGTAATACCCAAAAAGAAGCAGGATGTTTTGCAGGAAGTTATTTCGCAGTGCACTGAGGTGTTAGCATAGATATACATTCCTAGATGCCGTGTTGTCTGTTGTTCTCTATCTGAGGTGATACAGCTGCGCGTCCGCCATGTTGGAGAGGTCAAGATTCGCTTGTGAACAGATTCACTTGTATTGAGAGACGATGAGTCTCAGGATTAAATCGGCCACAACTTCCTTATTACTCAACCGATTTTCACCAAATCTGTTTAGTTATAATCCTCAGACAGAGATTAATCTGGCCTGCTCGGATCTGCTCTCGGCAGCTTTTATCTCTTTAATAACTGATCGTGATAATTAGCCGTCCAGACCAGCAGAGAAGTATTCAGTCTGCACCTGACGTGAGTTTAGCGTGAATAGAAACACAATCAGCAAATCCATCAGTGTGTGAATCACTTCTAATCTTAATACACAGAAAGACGAAGCTGAAGTTGGCTTCCTATTTGCCAGCTTCTTGTTCGAACAAGAAGCTGGCACATAAGAAGCTAACTTCAGCTCTGTGTAAGAAGGTGCTAACGTTAATCTATTATGAATATCTACACGGATTAAGGAATGCTGTAATTTACCCAGCTACAAAGCTTTAACCATCATTGTAAATGAATAACTACTACATAGAGTTAAGACCCCCTGAATAGACGATTAAATGAAATAAGCTTAATATAAAACCAGAGGAAAAACAATCACATCAACAGGTTCTTTCAACCTCATTAACCACACGGCCATATCTACACAAACATCACACAAACTATACACATCACACAGACATGAGTGTGGATCACTGCGTTCCCTCCGTTATATAATCCCGTCCCACTTTCTGAGAGCAACATTCTGGAAATAGTGTAATTTTGGACGGTATCTTTCTTAAACTGCAGGGTGCCTGGCTGGACCCAACACGGCATCTAGGTATGTATATCTATGGGTGCTAGCATGTTAGCATGCTGTTCAGCCATATGTCAACCTTCCATTACTGCGACAGCATCATCTAGAAAAAAGGAAGGAAATATAAATGAAAAACAAAACAAAGGATAAAGTGTGTTACATTTCTATTATTGTTGTTGTGGCTGTTTTTGTTGCTGCTGTTAATTTTGTTATTACTGCTGTTGTTATTATGCTTTAGCAGCATTGAACTTCCTATAACTACAGTCCTGCCAGTAAAGCACCACACTTTAAAGAGATGGTTCTTCTTCAAGTCTTCTTTAGTAATAGTACTCATGGATCCATTTAGAACCATGAGTACTATATAGAACCATTTGCATGCTTAAATGGTTTGTTGCGTAGTGAAATCGTTCTTCAGATTGATGGAGAATGTGCTGTAAATAGTTCTTTATAGAACCTTTTTTAAAAAAAGGTTCTGTTGTTACAATATCATGCTTGTAACAATAGAAGAACCCTTTTTGGTGTGTTCTATATACACTCTTGAAAAAGATGCTTGTTCACGGGTTCTCTAGTTAAGCCAATGGCTGTAGGACACCTTTAGATCACATTGCAAAACTATCAATTGCATCTGGAACCAGTCCGAGAACTCCTGGGAACCATTAGATTGCTTTACACTGTGATAGAACCCCATCAGGAAAACACAAGATACCATGAGATACTATTACTGGCTACTGGACACCACCAAGAACCTTATTATTATTATTTTCAACAGGTTAGCTTTATGTAGAACTCATGGTTCTAAATAGAACAATTCCCTTTATTAAAGAACCATTGAATAACCATCTTCTTTCAGTGTGTGACATGCTGGTCAGCCTAAGTTAGCACAACAGGTTGGGAACCTTCTCTGAGAGTAAAAAAAAAAGAAGGAAAATGTGTGTATATGAAATATGTCTACACTCTTAAAAAAGATGGTTCTTCAAGGGTTCTTTAGTACAGAAAATGGTTCTATATGACACCACGAACACTCAGAGAACCCTTTGCGTGATTAAAGGGTTCTTTGCATGGTTAAGTGGTTCTTTAGATTGATGGATGGAGAATGTGCTATAGATGGTTCTATAGCACTAAAAAGGTTTTACAAATACAAGAAACATTTATGGTTCAATATAGAACCACTTTCTTTACTAAGAACCCCTGAAGAACCATCTCATCTTTTTTAAGTGTGTGGATCAAATGTGTTTTTAATGTGTGGCTAAAGCACATATTTGCCTGAGCTGTAGTTCCTTTGGTGTTGTTGTTGTTGTCATTGTTATCGTTACTGTTGTTGTTGTTGTCATTGTTGTTGCTGTTGTTGTCATAGTTGTTGATGTCATTGTTGTCATTGTTGCTGTTGTTGTTGTCATTGTTGTCGACGTTGTTGTTTCTGTCATTGTTGTTGTCATTGTTGTCGTTGTTGTTGATGTCATTGTTGTTGTTGTTGTTGTCATTTTTGTTATTTCTGTTGTCATTGTGTCATTGTTGTTGATGTTGTTGTTGTCAATGTTGTTGTCAATGTTGTTGACGTTGTTGTTGCTGTCATTGTTTTTGATGTTGTTGTTGTTGTTTCTGTTGTTTCTGTTGTTGTTGTTGTCATTGTGTCATTGTTGTTGCTGTTTCTGTCGTTGTTGTTGTTGCTGTTGTTGTCATTGTTGTCGTTGTTGTTGACGTCCCTTTTTAAAATTCCCCACTCGTTATTTTAAATAGTTTTATTTTGAAATGTTATTTTCTGGGTAAATCTCTCCTACAGGTGTCTCTACAGCCGAGCTGCTCCAGAGGTACTGACTCTGCTCTCAGCTCTCCACCTTACTAAAAAACCCATAGAAAGTGTTTCTGTTGGTTCCTGATGGTTTTGTAATGTGTTTTTATGTGTTTTTGGATATCGGTGTAGAGGATCCTAATGGTTTAGCACCCATGTGTCAAACACAAGGCCTGGGGCTCTGTCAGGCCGGTGACACAGTCCCATTCGACCTGCAATATTATTTTAATTTTCTATTCTTATTCGCCTGTTTCACCCTGAGATGCACTACAGTCCCCAGCATGCACTGCAACGTAATGTGTGTTCTTACCCCCAACAACAGTCTATGGGTCAGCGGTCACACAAAAAAGAAAAGATGCCTGGTGTCTCGTTCAAGCAAACAGGCAGTTTTAAAACTATTTATTTTTATTTAGAATAAATTAAATACATATTCAGTGCCTGTTTTGCTGTTTTAGTTTTGGCATATTTTGAGTAAACAATGGTCCGTTCAGTTCAGGGCAAAATGTTGAGTAAAAAAGAAATGAAAACACAGTTGGTCCACAGATTAGTTGAGATTTTTTAATACGGCCCTTTCAGTGGTTCAGTTGGACCCCCCTGCTTTCGCAGGTGACCAGTGGCTGATTCTAAACTCTTGTGATGGTTGCCTGATGGGATCTAATGGTGTCCCACAGGTAACTAGTGGTCTCAAGTGCTAACCATTAAGCCAGTTCCCGTTAGAAAGCAAAACCATTAGGTTGTAATTCTAATTATTTTTAATTGTCCTTGTTCAGCGGGCAGTGGGTCTGATAGCAGCGCTTCTCCACCTCCTCATCTGCCACTTGGACGTCCGGTGAGCGCGCGAGCTGTTGCGCGCGGGAGGTAATAAATATTCAGCTTTATTTCATCATTCAACATAAATAAATAAATAAATAAGAGAATTTTCATTCATGATAAAAGATCGAACACAATGTGCCACAGAGAAGAATTCTGATTTACTATTATTATTATTATTATTATTATTATTATTATTATAACTATTATTTTGTTATGTTATTTTATTTATTTATTTATTTTTTAAAGGCGCGTGCTGCTGCTGCTGTAGCTACTATCAGTCCAGAGAGCGCTCGCGCGGCGCGAATCCGGTGACAAAATCTGAGAGGTGGGGGGAGCGGCGCGAGGGAAAATAAAGAGCGCTCTCTCTCTCTCTCTCTCTCTCTCTCTCTCTCTCTCTCTCTCTCTCTCTCTCTCTCTCTCTTCTCTTTTTCCCTCGTGCTCAGATTGAGGAGCTGGTCAACTGTTGCTGCGCGCGAGGAAGCCGAGCGGAGTGCTGCTGACTGAACGTGGCACGGTGATGGGCGTGTGACACACACCCCCCACCCCCATATCTCCTCTCCTCCTCTCCTCTCGCGCACGCACTGGCACGGTGGACGCTCGGTGAAAGGAACTGTGTTTGGCGTGATGGCAGAGAGACTGGCGCGGGCCGCGCTCGCGCGCTCCCTTCTGACAGTCATCCGCGCGGCACGAATGCTGCTCTCGCCGCCGTTTGTTTGGTGAGAGACTCCAGACCAGACAGACGATAAGACTCGCGCTCGCTGTCTCGAGACCTCGCTGGTGGATTTTTACTATTGCTTTATTTTTTTTCTCCCGCTAAGCGCGCGCTCTGTTTTTTATTTTAATTTTTTTTTGTTTTGTTTTTTTTTATCCCCCTTGTTGACCTTGATTGCCCCCCCCCCTTCCTCTCTCCCAATGCTGATGATGATGGAGCACAGCGGTATGGAGGCGCATCAGGTTGGACGCGACGCCGTGGACCACAGCGAGGCGCGCGCCCGTCCGCGCGCCTGCACCTGGCCGCCGCCACCGCCGCCGTGTCCGGACGGAGGAGGAGGAGGAACCGCGGGAGCAGGAGTAGTGGGAGTTGTCGGGTCTCACGCGAAAGCGCGCCTGAAAGCGGAGCCGCACGACGCGCCCGCGTGCCGCGCTGAGAGGGCCGGCGGGGGCGCGCCGCTCGAGCTCGAGCTCAAGCACCCTGCCGGCGCGCCGGCGCCCGCCTGCCTGTCCGCCGCGCTCGACGTGGCCGGCCAGCTGCGCAAAGCCAAGTCGTCGCGGCGGAACGCGTGGGGCAACCAGTCGTACGCGGACCTGATCACGCGCGCCATCGAGAGCACGCCCGAGAAGCGGCTCACGCTCTCGCAGATCTACGACTGGATGGTGCGCTTCGTGCCGTATTTCAAGGATAAAGGGGACAGCAACAGCTCGGCCGGCTGGAAGGTAAGACCCGCGCTCACGCGCTTCTTGCATTGCCACGCTGCGGGGATGCGGGGAAAGGCTCGTGCGTGACGGGTCCGGGGGATCTGGTAGTAAAAACGCCCTTTGTTGTGTCCGCCGTTCAGCAGCTCGCGCTCAACACGACGCCCTCGAGTCGTGATGGGGTTTACAGCGCGATGAACAGCGACCAGCACCGGGAGGGGGGAGTGATTGTTGGGACGGGGGGTGGGGAAGGAGGTCACTGGGTTCGTTGCACCGGGAGCTCGCGGCATGCCCGCCTGCATGTCGTGGAGAATCCGCGCTGTTATTGTGTGTGTGTATGTGTGTGTGTGTGTGTGTGTGTGAGTGCGTGTGTGTGTGCGCAGCAGTGAGGGGCAAACCGGGCAATTGATGACGCTTCTCCTAGGGGCTCGTGCGCGGTGTGAGGTGTGCGGGTTGGAGGGAGTGGGGGGGGGTCACCCCGGGGACACGAGGGTGTCCGGTCAGTAAGGCCACGAGACGGACTCCAGGGCCGCCTGTCTGGACTGGAAAACACACACACACACACACACACACACACACACACACACACACACACACACAGAGCACGAACCCGCCTCCCGAGAGAGAGAGAGAGAGAGACAGAGACAGAGACAGAGAGAGAGAGAGAGAGAGAGAGAGATGTTACATAAATCGAACAGACCGCAGAAAGTGAACACTTGAATACTTGGAGAGACATAAATGCAAATGAAGTCACCGCGAGCCGGAGGAGGGCGTGTTTCTCTCCGAGCAGCCTGTGGCACGCGCTCAGCAGAGTTTAATGAGTTTACAGTTTTACATTGTGGCGGGATGAGTGCACATGATACAGGATCACTCTCTCTCTCTCTCTCTCTCTCTCTCTCTCTCTCTCTCTCTCTCTCTCTCTCTCTCTCCCTTTCTTCTCCTCTCTCTCTCTTTATTCTCTCTCTCTCCCTTTATTCTCTCTCTCTCCCTTCCTTCTCTCTCTGTCTCTCTCTCTCTCTCTCTCTCTCTCTCTCTCTCTCTCTCTCTCCCCCTTTCTTCTTCGTCTTCTTCTTCTTCTTCTTCCTCTTCTCTCACTCTGTATTTCTTTCTCACTCTCTCTCTCTCTCTCTCTCTCTCTCTCTCTCTCTCTCTCTCTCTCTCTATTTCTCTCTCACTCTCTATTTCTCTCCCTCTCACTACATGTCTCTCTCTATCTCTATATCTCACTTATCCTCTTTATCTCATTTCATATTTTCTTTCTTTCTTTCTTTTGCTTTTTTTAATCTGTCTTACTTTCTCTTACTTTGTTTTCTCTTTCTTTTTCTCTCTAGCTCTCATTCTGTCTCCGTTGCTTCTATCTATCTATCCATCTATCTATCTATCTATCTATCTATCTATCTATCTATCTATCTATCTATCTCAGTATGTGATACAGCGTCAGTGTCAGTGGTTTGAACTCTGATTTTTCAGCTGTTCTGATTTAATTTTTCTCCGAATGCTGTTTTCCCCCGTTTTGTCAGAGATCTCTCTCTCTGTGTTGGGCTGTGAGTGAGTGAGCAGCGTGTGTGTCAGGCTGGCAGTGACGAGCCGCGTTTTCCTCCCAGCAGATTTGAGCCTGATTGAAAACATTTCCTGAAATCAGACGCCTCTCCAGTCTGTACTGAACTCCTCTCTGGGCGTCGTGGGGTTTTATAGGGCGATTCGCTCGAGTCTGGCCGTTTACGAGGCCGTAGTTAAATATGGAATGTCGTTAGTACCTGAAGAGGGTAAGTAATAGATATTTTATTGCAGGCTATATTGTTTGAGGGCACGTTAAACAGCTCTCTGCCTACAAAACCACTGAGATCACAAACACTAAAAACACTTTAAACTGATGCTTTTACACAGCACTGTCCACAATCCTGTAGACTCCAGCGTTTCTCCTGAAATGAAGGTGTTAATAGTGAGTTTGTGCTGCAGTAACAGCCTCTACTCTTCTGGGAAGGCCTCTAGATGTTGAACATTGCTGTGAGGATTTGATTGAGCATTCGTGAGGTCAGGTACTGATGTTGGATGGTCAGTTCTGGTTCACTCCAACTCATCCCAAAGGTATTGGATGGAGCTCCATCACTCCAGAGAACGCAGCTCCACTGCTCCACAGCCCAATGCTGGGGGGCTTTATACACCCCTCTAGCCCGCCTTAGGTGACCTCAGGCTGGTCCAGAGTGTCCCATTCTACTGGCCAGTGCTTCTCTGTGGAGATTATACACCATCTCTTTGCCATTATCTATTATTTCCAGACTTTTCAATTCCATCAAGTAGTAGATTTAGCATATGAACACTGCATTATATTAACCCGCACATCAAATTCTCTGTTTCTATATCTGTGTCTGTGTCTTTGTGATGATCCAGCTCAGAAATCCAGTTCAAACACTTCCTGAATCTGTAGAGTCGCCCTTTCCATTCCATCTCATCACGAGATCATACGAGACTCACATCCGGAGTTATGAGCCTATGAAGAGGGGCTGAGATACACGTCATCTGCCTCTCACCGTGTGGAACTGGTGGATTGGTGTGTCCGTCTACATTCTGTGTGAAACTGACCAATGGACACTCAGGAAATCACTAAGGACTGACCATCATGCTGGAAACCCTTCATTCTTAATTCAGTCCACATCAGAGACTCATGTGAAATGGCGTGCAGAGAGTTTTGATGTGAAACATATGAGGATCATATTATATGAAAAGCCTTTAAAGGAGAGTTTAAACAGATATGAACAAACCCAGAAAGTGACCCCTGGGTTAAGATGTATTTTCATTCATTTGTGTCCGTTTTACATGAATCAGTTACATAAAGAGAGCACGATTCATGTATTTAAAGGGCCCATATCATGGAAAACTGGATGTCCGCATGCTCCTTTTGAAAGAAGAGTTTGATGTAGTATGTAAACATTGTAAACATCTCAGAACTCCATGTAGTCTATATATGTTACACTGCAAAAACAGGCTGCTTTAAATTAATTTGCTTTTGTGATGTCACAAAAACTAATGCATTTATATATAACTGCCTATTTAGCCCACAGCTACAGAAGTCCAGAGAGGCCATGAGGTATTTATAATTTTCCGGATTGTTATTTTGAGATAATGAGTTAATTATTTTGTTATCCCAAGATAACAAAAGTTGTTATTTCAAGATAATGAGCTAATTATCTTGTGATCTCAAGATAACAAAGTTGTTATCTTGAAATAACAAGTTACTTATCTTGTGATCTCAAGATAACAAAGTTGTTATCTTGAAATAACAAGTTACTTGTCTTGTTATCTCAAGATAACCATCTAGAAAGTTATAGCAACAGCTCATAGCTCTATTAAACGGAAGTCCAGAGAGGCCATGAGGTAGTTATAATTTTCTCAATTGTTATCTTGAAATAACAAGTTACTTATCTTGTTATCTTGAGATAATGAAGGTTGTTAACTTAAGATAACGAGTGAATTATCTTGTGATCTCAAGCTGTTTATCTTACCTCAAGATAGGAAAGTTGTTTTCTTGAAATGACAAGTTACTTATCTTGTTATCTCAAGATAACAATCCCGAAAATTGTAGCAACAGCTCATGGCCTCTCCGGTCTTCCATACACAGCAGTTTAGAAGTTATAATGAGTGTTTTCCTATATTCATATAAAGGCAGCCAATTTGAATATGGGCAGCCAATCAGAACAGAGCTCATTTAAATATATCACTCTTAAAAGCACAGTAACAAAAACAGCCTGTGGTGTGATGCTGGGAAATTCTCACTTCCAAATGAATTAAATCAGATGTGGATTTCAGAGTTGAAATAAATTCCAAGTTAAATTGAGGGTTTGGGCCCTTTAATGTCAACATGCTGTCAGTTTATGAGACCAACAGCATTGCTGGTTTGTTGTTTTGCTCGTTGTCGGAATTTAATATCACTAGATGAGATATTTACCACAACAAGATTGTTGTCTGTGAAGCCCCCCGGGATGAAGCCGGGCCGCGCTAATCTTAAGCTCATAGCGCTAAACTGGATTTAAATCTGGCTTAATTCCTCAGGACTTGTTTGTGCTGCCCGGAGATCTACAGCTGGGTGTCACTCATACGCTCCCATGGGGCTTTGCAGCAGGGCGAGGGCTCTGATTGGTTGGCGGTTGGCAGGGGGAGAGGAAGGCAAAAATAAAACCAAGTTGTTTCAATCAAAATAAGGTTGTGGAAAACAGACTCACACGCTCGCACATGTTGGCCTCTGGAGCAGTTGGCATCGGATCTTTAATGTGCTTTTAATTCACACACACACACACACATACGCACAGACACACACACACACACGCACATACGAACAGACACACACACACACACATACGCACACACACGGACACACACACACACACACACACACATACGAACACACACACACACACACACACACACACACATACGCACAGACACACACACACACATACGCACACACACGCACACACACACATACGCACAGACACACACACATACGCACACACACGCACACACACACATACGCACATACACACACACGCACACATACGCACACATACGCACACACACGCACACACACATACGCACACACACGCACACACACACATACGCACAGACACACACACACACACATACGCACACACACGCACACATACGCACAGACACACACACATGCACACACACACATACGCACATACACACATACGCACACACACACGCACACACACACATACGCACAGACACACACCCACATACGCACACACACTTACGCGCACACATACACACACACACATACGCACACGCACACACAAACACACACATACGCACAGACACACACACACGTACACACACACATACGCACAGACACACACACACACATACGTACGCACACACATACGCACAGACACACACACATACGTACAGACACACACACACATACGCACAGACACACACACACACACATACGCACAGACACACACACACACATACGCACACACACGGACACACACACACAC